AGTCAAATCCAAGAAACATGCAAAGCCAACGCTCGCATGCGAGCCTTAATTGATTTGCGTTGGCAAGACCTGGTTATGAACAATAGCGTTCAACTCGGCATCCAGTCACCTTGTGCGTTGTGCACTCTATGATCCTAATTGACCTTTTCGGTCATAAGCTAACAATTGCCGTTCGCACATACTTGGTTGACTAGCCAGGTTTGTTCGTTGACATCCTTTTGAAAGCAAAATCTTTTTGATTTTCCAAACAATTTCAAAACTATCTACTCTGGAGGTGCAGAAAAACGCGCAAAATGTATTTCTTTTACAATTTATGCTGAAGTTAATAATAATTTTCAGCGTAGAAGCCTCACAAAAAGCGGGAAACACATTGTTGAAAATTTGAAAATGCCACGATCACCGAGTTTGTACTAGCGGATTCACTTTGGTGGCTATGTATAGTCTGATCTGACGGTGAGGAAATCTCCCCGCCACCGAAATGTGATGCCTTCGCTTTTAGAAAACTCCGCGTTTCCTTCAAGAAGACTGTCCTGTATTATGCATCACGGATACTAATAAAAATGATACACCAAGTGATTTCGCTGTAGTATGATAGTTCATGATAATTGCGAAAGGATGTCAAACACGATGATCGAAAATATTTCCGGTTTCATGCGACAATGGTATTCTGGTTGACTGCACCAGTGCGCCACCTCGTAGCCATCTTTTCAAAAGTGTACAGTGGACGCCATTAATGTGGTTACACTAGACAATCGGTCCGAGGACCGATATTTTAACGGCAAGATCGACAACAGACCAAAATAAGTCGGTCATGTCCATTGCGCGTAGACCGGTAGACTCGTAATAAACTCATGCACTTGAAACTTGCACATTTCCAAACGAAAACCATCAATCGATAACTCAAACGAATGAGAAAAAAATTCTAAGAATTTTGATACCAGACAAATTGGTTTTTATTTCATCTAAGAGAAAATCGAGGTTCCTAAAGTTTCCCGTAGACAAAGCATAGGATTTGAATCCATGCGCAAAATTCTTAGAATTTTTTTCTCATTCGTTTGAGTTATCGATTGATGGTTTTCGTTGGGAAATGTGCAAGGTGCAAGTGTAAACATCAGCAGGCCGATGGCCAGCACAGAATTGGCTGTCTGAGTACAGATAAGTATCTGGTTGCGCGCGGTTTGAGTGTAACCACATTTATGGTGTCCACTGTACATGCACGTTCTTTTAATACATTATATTATTCAGTTCGAAATCGAGTGTAACTGTAAAGTGCCAATTGCAAATGGTATGGTCATTATTATTGCGTTCACCGAATATTTGCAAAATCCAGATATTAAAGGGGCTCTCTGGTTTTTGAAAATGAATGTCAAAAAGGAATTTGTATCGATTTCAGATGGTTGTCGTACTGTCGGGATAAACTGAGCCAGCGTCATGCAGCATCAGGCCGGTGAAGATATAAGCAACGGCAGGAAAAAGACTGGTAGTCATCGCGTGTTTCCGAATTGTCATTGACCGGGGCATTGATAATTAAACAGGCTGAAAATTGTTGTTATTTGATAAAAAGTTAGCTTCAGCGATTGCCGTTGAGCAAGGACAAAGTACTTCCGTAAAATAAAACACTATTTATAGACATAACCAGTTAATAAACGCCTGAGAAGGCTTTGAATGAGACAAAATTTCATTCTCCGACCACTGTAGAAAAGAAGTTGAAATCAGCCGGTCGGTTCGTGACAGCAGAAGTTTATTCAGTAAGTCAGTAAGCATTGTGCAAAAGGAAGACAGTCATCGCGCACAAACTGCCACCACACAGAGCTGCACTCGCACAGAAACGCGCTGCAAAATATGCTCTTAAACGAAGCATCATCCATTTATTTATTTTGCACTACGTATCTGCTTAGTCAGCCTTAGTGTTGTTCTTTGCGTGTACTTGTAGTCGCTCTGGTCAGTGGATCGACTTTCATATCTGGTAGGTCCCGAGGTCGAACCGTAACATCCACCAGATCTTCGGCTGCCGACTGGTCCTGTACATTGGCCCTCGGCGGCTGCCGGCAACGCAAAGGTTCCTTATGTTCGCATGGAGTAGTGGGATGCTTGGGAACCATATGAACCCAGGACAGATCTTTATGACAGTGATGAGACATGTTGATAGCGCCCAACGGTAGAATCGGACAGATCACTAAGCCTTTCAATGTAATTTATTTAAAAGAGAAAAACGTCTTTGACACTGCCAATCATATCATCTCTCTAAAAATGCGGAGAATCGGTTTTGTTATCAGTTCGTTGTCAGTCTGCATGCTGCATTGGTAATACGAGCAAAATAAAGCTGTGCTGTGTTAAAATAACAATATTAATCTGTCAAAAGATAAACTAGGCATAGTTCCCGATAAAGAGCAGGCATGTGCACAGTAATACAGTTCGGATTGAACATGCCATCGACCAGTACAGATAAAGGTCGTCTACCGTTGGCATCGGACAAATGTAACAATGTTATCTGGACTAAACTTTGAAATATGCTGGCCGTAGTTTGTTTTCCCCGTGCTCACAACCATCGTTATGACTGCATTGTGTATGGATGGCTACCGTTCAGCATGAAAGCTCATGTGACTGACCATGGTGAGTACAAGCTCTCAAAATGATTACCACGTTCGGAAATCATTACAGAATGGTGCTCGATCGGATAGAATAATTTATAAAAGTACGTCAAAGGGGCGACATGTATGTATTTCTTCAATTTTGGAGCCTATCAGTGACGGTTCCATATAGCACTACAATAGAAATTTATTTCTGAAAACCTGCCCTTTCATGGACAGCCGATCGTCGTTTTGTACGATATAATAGTGGATAACTCTGACGGCAAAAACATCAATCGATAAAACAGAGCCATTTATTCAAATTTGAAACATTTTTATGCCGAATGCGTAACAGTGGCAACATTTCTGTGGGTTACAAGCTTTCTCTAGAACGATCTCATGCTAGAATGGAAGTCTCTGAGACCAAGACAGAATAAAATGGGATCCAAAAGGGCCTGCAGCGAATACAAACTACCTTGTATCTCGTAAAACATTGGCATCGTGGTCGGGGAAATGGCATGAAATGAAATCGCTGAGTATGAAGAACATCATCGACGGAATCCAACAGACACCCACACCAATCGTTAATAAGGTCACCACGACAAACGGCCGCGATACCGCGCTCTCCCTTCCGCGACTGCTATCGCGCAACGTGGAGTCGCGAGTCCCTTCTCGGGTAGCATTTTGTAAGGGCAAAGTTATACGTCGCCTCTTTAAGGTCTTCCACAGCAGAATCGGATAGCACGCTGGTATAAACAACTTGGGAACATCAAACACCACTATACTGGTCAGCATGGCCCAGGTAATTTGTTTCGCTCGGTTCAACCAACAAACTGATTCTGTAAAGATGCGATAATACACCGCGTCCAGAATAAGCCCCGGCAGCAACATAATGTGCACATAAATCACCGCTCCTCCGCAGCAGAGCGCCGCTATGGCGATGGTGTGGCGATGCTTATAGGAAATCGGCCAGAACAGTGCCCAACCGCGATTCAAGCTGATAAGTAGATGAATGTGTATGGTAATACCGGAAATTACGTGTGCACCGTAAAGGTGTACAGTGCATGCCCATCTTCCCAATAACGAATCAGTAATGGAAACATTCACCAAATTTAATGGACTGTCGATGGCAATGTACAGGATGTTGCTGCATAATAACGCTACAATGTACGTGTTGAATGGTGTCCGCAGTTTGCGAATATACAGCAGCAGGCAGAGTACGGCGCAGTTAGCCAGCAATGTCGCGGCGGTTATGCTTATCGTCCAGGCTGATAAAGGTCGCGCTTGGATGGCGGTCGTCTCTGTGGCATTTGCTTGGACACTGGATGAATTAGAGAAAAGCATGTTCTCGGGAGACATAGCAAAGGTTTTAAAAGTTATCTTCTCCACACCACAATATACCCATCTCGCAGATTTTCGTTGGAGCTACAGACGAGAATAACAGCTGCAGAGTAAGGGTACAAAGCGTGTGCGGATGACGCTGGTATCCATAATTAAACAGTCCTATTACAATCGGGGTAATGTGATTGCCTGCGCACCTGAGTCTTCTCATACGCTTTAACGAAAACAAAGAAATAAGGAGTGTTATTGGTTTGCAAGAAGAATGACACTGCACTACCTTAATTATTAGTATGTGCTCTGCTCGTAGGTTACAATCGGAAAATGCCACGCAGTCTGCGCGTTGTCAGGATCGTCATTATACCATGGCGGGCTTATGCCGCCAAACGTGTGGGCAGCGGTTAGGCATTCTTCGGGAAGAATGTCTTCTCAGCCTCACTGTTCTGCGGAACCGGCCGTTTTGTTTTTTATTCTGAGCGAGAGGGTGGATTTTAAGGCGCTGCATCGGGCCGCATCATCACACTCTGCGATTTAGATTTAACTTGCGCGTAAGTCGGCAACGTACAACATACAGTCATTTCCGGCCGGTTTCCGCGCTGCGTGTATAAATTCATTCGAGTATATGACAGCATCATAATAATGACGTAAGCTCGACATTTAAGCATTGCATTCAAGCAGCAACGCGTTCCATGTTGGTGTATGTATGGCTTAAAACAGAGATCAGTACCTGCTACTCAGTAGTAATTAAGCTTGAGTTAGCGCAAGGGCCTTTCAATCCGTAACACAAGCCCACATCTACGAGTACGGAGGCATGCGACTTGTACTGCGTACGACAACTAAGACTTACGGTGCTGCTAAGTTTAACGGCCGCACAAGACTGATGTAATAAGCTTGGTCGGCATTGTTATGAAGAAATGCAAGAAACTTCGGACATTTTTTCCTCAAACGAACAGCCGGAAATGCAGCACATAAACAAAAGAATAGCGATTAAGCAGCGGCTTCTGCTAACACCTATGTTCGTTCGTTCGCAGGATTGTACTGCACGCTGCGCTGTCGTTCCTAGTCTTTACAACAGTCGCACTGAACAAAAGTCGCAAAAGTCTCACAAATTACGCTTATGATAACATACTGGTTCGGATTTTTGTCTATCTGACTTATGCTGTCTTAAACTACCCGGCAGCTTAACTGCACTTAACCACAGCGCAGTTAACTGGCATTACACCCACATAATTTTATAAGAAATTATTACCGACGTTTGCTAGTCATATTCCTTGTGCTCTGGCTTTGCTAGATATCTTACCACCTATAGATTTGCTCTGAGGTTTGGGGCTCGCCCAACGCGGTTTTAAGAGCTTTTAGTATTCACCACGAATTTCTATTTGTAATGACTGCTCGATCTAACTCGCCATCGCTCTTTATGCCTGTGTTTGTCACGCTGTTGTTGGGAGTAATTAGCCTGGTTGCAGGACAAAGCCCCAACATGACCACGCTTCCCACCTGCCCAGGTAGGAATTTCCGCTTGTAAATTTTTTGTTCTTTCATGACATACAGCCCCGTTCTAAATCCGGTGAGAACGATAACAGCACAATCCGACAAACCATGTCTTGAGCCATTCGCCCTACTACGGCGCACGTATACGCTGTGCCGCAAGAGAAGCAATCCTAGACAGCTTAATGTGCCAGATTGTGTATCTACTATGTGCTGTATCTACTACAACATAGTACGGTAGTAACGGTACCATTCAAAATCCACTTCATATTTTATTATACCCGGACTATATGCTGCACAGTTACAGTGTTCACCGGTTTTTGAAAGGACCATGCCATCGCCACTAAAATTTCAGTTTAAATGATCTGTGCAGCAGAACAAGGATTCTTTGAGAACGGAGCCTGGTGCCAAATTTGCCGTATCACGAACGACAGAAAACTAATATTTCAAACCGTAGAATGTGCATTGCTTCATACTGATACGAGTTCGGCTGTTAAAAAATATATGGCCGACATTTATGCAGGTCAACCTTTCAACGTTTTTGCATTTATGCGGGGTACAAAGTTCTTGTTGCACTTGTACTTTTATGTTTGATGTTCTACGTTGGTAGAAAACTAAAATGCACATGCTAATCTGGCGAGTATTGTATTTTTCTAGTGCAGGCGGACTTGTCCGTACTGTGTCCCCTCCTCCCGAATCCCATCCCGCCGTGCCCGGATATGTGCCCGCCCTACGGCAGCGATTGCCCTAGCTATCCGACTGCCCACTGTGTCACCAAATGGTGTAGTGATTGTACAGAGCGCTGGTATATCCTTGGTGCAAACAGCGCCCGCGTGGGTTGGTTCCAGGTCACGGACCAGTGCAACACCACATCGGCTCCTACCTACACTGCTCTGACCCCCCACCCGGGCTGTCCGGCAGTTACCGGTTGTCCACCAAACAAAGCGTATTTCCTCTGTTCGCAGGAGCCGTGCGCTTGTCAGACGTGTGCGCGGATTCCCTCGGCTGTGTGTTGTAATAATTTTTGTAACCAGTGCGGTTTTGCGTTCTACGACAACGGTGTTGATGTTACATCCTCCTGCTAGCCTTAATCGACCTTACTTCATCTTAAACCTTTTTTTCCTCTTTTTTCGTCGTATCGCAACAGCCGTAGTCTTGAATTTCAAAACGTTTTGAGTATTTTATCTGCCGTGTAACAATGAAATGAATGAATACGAGAAGGAGCCCTAATGTTTTTGTTGAGGATGTATGGATATATACTTAATTGTACGTACTGATTGGACAATCTGTAGAGTACGCACGGAAGAAACAATCAATGTTTACACAGCACGCGCAGTGACCATTAATAAAGTTGACCATATCCATTGTATCTACGAGTAACAGGGCATTTCGTAACTGTTGATTTAGAATGTTGAGAACATTCACGATTTTTATTTTCTAAAATCTTTATTTTTATAAGTTTTCCTGATTTCAGAGAATCTGATGGACGCTGTCTACATAGTAAACAGATCTACAACGTGACTGATGGCCTAGAAATTTTACCATAAAAACACACCTACCCGGGATCGGTTGGTTTTGCCATTTTGAAGTCTTTCAATAAACTGCATCAGGCATAGTGCCGCACCGGGAGATGAAGTTGCTCGAAGCACCGGAAGTATCTGAATACGCAAAGAGATATGCGCGAAATTAAATGATGAAACGTTATGAATACAGGCTAACCAGCGGACGGGAAAAGCTATGCTTTAAACACCAGACGTATCGAAGTACATAAAAAAAACGCGAATGTCGAAAAGTGATTTGTTTAGGAATACATACAGGCTAGATGGAAAGAAGTTGTTCGTGTGCGTTACCAACCAAGCGTCCTGAAACGACTCTGTGACTCTCGACGACAGTAAATTAGGGCGAGTGTTAAAATATGAATATCAATCCCGTGAATATGTGTATTTAACCAGCGCATGCACAATGCAGAAATGAAGAGCACACACGCCTGTTCTCGTTTGCACAAGGCATTCGTTCTCCTTCTTGTGTGTCGTTCTTCTGTACTCACTTCTGTCATTTGCTTGAATTAACATCAGCCAGATTCCTTCATCTGCAAATACTATAGTCAGCTTTCACCGTAACGCGTTGAAGTGTGTTTCCGATGGCTATCGCCAACCCTTTTCCCGTAAACGATTCCATTTCCAACACATCCTTCATTCAAGAAAATGCAGCATTGTCCACCGTCAACCCTGTGCCAGTATCAGCATGGATGGTCCGTATAATCACTGTCACATTACTGGCCATGAGCGTCGTGCTGATTATGCTGTTGCACATACGGAAACTGCGGACACCATTCAATACGTATATTGTGGCATTATCCTGTAGCAACATCCTGTACGCAGTCATTGATAGTCCGCTTAAGTTGATAAATTTGCCGTCAGTGCACTGGTCACTGGGAGCATCGGCGTGTACGGTAAATAATTACTGTACGCACGTAATCGCTGCAGTTTCCATACACATCCATTTGCTTATTAGCTTGAATGGCAGCTGGGTGTTGTTTTGGCCGGTTTCCTATAAACATCGCCACGCTATTTCCGTGTCGGCGCTATGCTGCGGAGGAACGGTTATTTATGTGCACATTATGTTGTTGCCTTGGATAATTCTGGACGCGGTATATTATCGCATTCCCTTAGAGAGCGGCTGCTGGTTGAGCGGTGAGCGACAGTTTGTGTGGTCGCAGTTGACCAGCATCATAGTGCTCATTATACCAAAGTTATATATGCCCGCGTGTTATCCGATTCTGCTATGGAAGATAGTAAAAAGGCGACGCTAAACGTGGGTGTTGCAAGCGGCACCAGAGATTTGTCCAGCGTCTCCGAATAGCCGCTCAAAAGAGAATACGGTGCCCTTTGTAGTGCTGACCTTATTGACGAGGGGTGTGGTCGTCTGCTGGATGCATTCGATGGTGTTTTATGCGTTAAATGGTTTAATTTCGCCGAACAAGGTGCCAGTGTTTCGCGAGAAACAAGCTAATTTGTATTCGCTGCAAGCGCTCTTGGATCCGATATTATTCTGCCTTAGCCTTAGAGATTTGCCCTTCTAAATTTGTTTGTTGGGGAGAAAGCGTGAAAGTTTGAGAAGCATTTCTGTTGTTCTGTATCCACTATAAAAAGGCTTGGAAACCGAACGATTAGAAAATGTTATCATCATTATTTTTATGACTGCTGCCAGACTGATCCTCTAGCAAATGTTTGACAGGGTTTGCGTAAGACCGCGCATCGTTTTAAATGGTTTTTTACTGTTATGCGGTAGAGTTTGCATTTTGTCGGGTTGCACGCCGAAATGCCCTTTCGAGTGTTGCGTTTTGCTTTTCCGGGAAGCCTTTAAAAATTTATTCCCAATGAGAGGTTGCATTGTGCATGTTCTACAAAGTATGAGCGGGTAAGCGGCGTGGGAGTAATAATCTCCTGAAGTGCTATTTGTTGCAAGAGCAAACCGTCGTAGTGCAGATTGTACTGACGCGGTCGATACATATCTGTAGTTTTGATTCTCTTCTTAACTGTGAAGTCAGAACGTAATACTTAATTAATCCAGTAAATCTACAGTAAAACAATACAGTAAAATACTTTCATCGCTATACCTTAATTTTTGGAAACCTTTTCTTTAATTTACAGTTCGCTAGATCGTAGCAAATGGAATTCTATAAGTACCTACAGTTCGTTGTATTTGCAGTTGCTGAATAACAGGAAAACTGGGGAACACGCTGCACTCATTTATTTAGAAATTAAACGATTTGCAGATGGAAGCACAAAAGACACTTTCGTTTTCAAGTACAGTATTTATTTACAGATATGTACTGACCATGGTCACATAATTTATCGGTAGATTATCAATTGTAAACGTTTGTTTCAGAGATGTTAATCCAGGAACTGAACACAAAATGACATTCAATTTTTCAGATCGGCACATTATCTTATGCTTGGATGATTTAAAACCATGTCGATGGCGCATGAACTCACTGGTCGGCCATTTGAAGTCTCAAGCTTTGAGCTTTTTTACTACTTTTTTTGGTCTAGCATGGAATTTAGCTTTTTGTCGTTTCTCTCTTTGGTGAAGCGGTGTGGGAAGAAATTCGTCTTTCGCGGTCATGCGGTGGTTTTTCTCCGGTGTGGCAGGATCCGTTTTGGGTTCTAAACAAGATATTTTTCGTACAGACATATTAAATCAGCAGAATAACTACAGTACATGAAAGCACCTAACCGCTGCATGCCGTTGATATCAACGGCAACAGGCCAGAAATTTTTTTAAATCCAGTTAATGTAGCAAGAAATTGATTCATGATGGCGGCTTAGTATGGTGCAACGATACTTACTGGATTGCAAGGTTTCCAAATACGTCAGACCTTCTTCCGCTGATGAACGATAGTCGTTTAAGAGGAGTCTAGCGTCCTGGCAAAGCACAGAGGAATTATTTAGTGTTGGGTAGTAAAAGTCCTTGCCAATATACTTATTTTTACTATCTGCTTTGGAAAGTTTACTTATTTTTACTTACTATTCAAAATTTTTCGGGACTTTTACTTACTTTTACTTTTTATTTCAATTTTCGCAGGGACATTTACTTACTAAATTAAAGTAAATTTACTAAATAAATGTAATTTAGCATTGACAGTTTCGAATTTCGCTAGTTTCAGAGCGCAACAGACTACTGAAAATAATGCAGATAAATTTCTTATGCATTAATCGAGCTATACAGGTGCATACTGAAAAGTAAATACTGCTGCTTTTGAGGACGGCAGGCTGGCAGCCGACTACTGCGCACACCCACTTTACCTGCGAGTGGCGGCGGCTGACACGCCAATTTTCCGTAACGTTGATAAAACGAATTAGTAAATAATTTAGTAATTGATTTTTATTTATTCAACACTGAACCTTAATATTTACTTACTTTTTACTATTCCGGCAGCACATTTACTTACTTTTACTAACTTTGTTTCCAAAACCTTACTATTTACTAGACTTTTAATATTAGGCGGACTTTTACTAAGTAAAAGGCCGTTATTTAATTTTATTTAGTAGCACAACACTAGAATTATTCACTTGAATTTTAAGAATTATCCAAATCAGCATTAATCATAAGCTGTGGTTCTCGTATCTGTGTTTCAGGCAGTTTTAATGTTTATGTGCCTGCATGCAGTTTGTGTAATAAACGTACCGCAAACACCAAAATGGTAGCCAGTAGCAGTGAGGTCACGAAGACGTTCATAATGCCGGATGTGGGATATAAAAAAACGTTGAAGACCAGAAATCAAGTGATCAGGAAGGTAATTGTTTTGGAAGTGTAGTTTAGCCAACGGTACCGAACGGTTTTATAGGGATGGCTGCGAAACTGTGCCTGAAGTTTTCTGCCGATCTGAGCTCTCCAAACCGTGGCGGAAATAATGCTGACTTTAGGAGACATTCATGGAATTTGCTCACTGGTTTGCCAGAAATCGAAGCCTGGAAACTGCAAGTGTTTTCCGAACATCGGATGGTCCGGCTCCAGCACCTTGCGTATCCACTTGAAAACTGCATCGACAGCTAACGAGAACTCAACCAGGTGGAATATACAGTAGACTTCAATATGAAATAAATGCGTACCATACCTATACATTACACCGTGCCGCAGTCTTTTCTTCTTCGTGCTTTTAATTTTGTTATTAAATTATTTGGGTTCATTATTCATTGTTAATATGCGAGCGAAACGAAGCGAACGTTATGTCTCGGAAAACCCGACTTTTGTCCATTACGCATTAATCGATTTTACAAAAAACATGTGGAAATTATTTTAGAAAAACCAAAATATTTGAATAAACATTTTAAGTTTTTAACATAGTTTCTTTTAATTAAACTCAGTTTAATATAATAATACAATAACTTTTAGATTTAAGCTATATTGCTGAATTACATAAAAAATGATAAATAGAAATAAAATTTGGGTAAAATTGTTAAAACATAATTATGATGAGTAAACAATTTTGGGTAACAAAAATTTTTAAATAATGAAATGGCTTGAACGGAATTTTTATAATAAAAGTGCAGTGGAAAAAACCACTGTCCACGTGCTCATGCGTACACATAATTTATAAACGTCCGGGCGGAAACCAATGCAAAATTTTACTGAATACACAGACCAGATGACAATATGAATAAAACACTCTATTAAAACGAATACTGGATATAAACAATAAATAGCAATGAGTTCCGGGTTTTAAATTTTTTAAGGAATGTAGAGACTGTAAGTAATTCGTCGTTACATGTCTCTACAGGCAACATTTAAAGACAGAAAACTAATTGCTTGACAAATTTTTAGACTTTACACTACACGCTGTTAAAAGACAAAAAATGAATCGTCCTACCAAAGAAAGCAAAGAATAAGAAAGCTTTGTCTCTATTTTATAGAATGTCTATCGAAGCCTTCTATTTCGTGAGATTTCCATCACCCATCCACAGTTAAAAAAAAACTTCCTATAACGCGGGGCCGTATGGGCGCCACGCGTATCCTCGACAGCGAACAGCGGTGAACCCGGATGAGGCTTTATTGCCGAATCTAATGCGCACCGTGGCGCAGCAACACCAGACTCAAGAGGAAGGATCCTGCAGCCAGTGCAACTGTGCTGCAGATCCGTCAAAACAGCGCAGCAATGTGCGGGGTGGAAATCCCCAGAAACAGCGAATAGCTACTCAGGAGGGCGGGGCGTCCCGCCCTTACACCCCTTTTGCAGGCATCGCTACGTCCTCGGAGCGAAATCTCCCAGGATTCGGAGGATCCGCACCCCACGCCGGTTCGGCTCGGGTTCCGGGTCGGTTCGGTCCGGTCGGCTCGAATCCGGTTCGGCTCAGGTTGGGTTCCGGGTCAGGTCGGCTCCGGTTCGGTCCGAGTCAACCGTCTGGGTCAACGCACTGTCGCGCCAGATCCAGGGTCCAACCCGGAAACGGGTAAATTCCGTGGTTTCTTCAGCACGGGAAAGGTCACGTTCTGGGGAAATTTGGGCAGGGGTTTGGGGTCTATGTGGCCCGTGACCCCTGCAAAAAAACAAAGCACGCAAATCCGCAGTGAAATCCACTGCTCCGTCCGGGGGGAGGTCGCCGTCCCAGGAAGTTCGGGCAGTGTTTTGGTGGGGGAATTCTTCGGCGTGGTGCTGGTGGTCGATCCGTGCCGTTGGGATCGGAGTTGGTGCTGCTGTTGGCGGTGTATCCGTTCTGGTTTCCCGCTGGTCCGGGTCGCGTTCGCCGTCGGCATCGCAGGAGGCAGTTCTCGCTCCACGGCATCGCAGGAGGCGTTTCTCGCTCCGCGGCATCTCCGTCCAGTTTGGGAGGCATCCGTCGCGGGGAGGCGTCCATCTCCGTCAGTTGGGAGAGGATCCATCACGTTCCGCGTGGGGGGGGTGGGAATGTAGCTCCACACCCCGGAGTTAAATGGGGTTCATAACTCAGAGGTGCTGCGGGCGCGACGAGCGCGCGCAGCTGGAAACGATAGCCAGATCTGCTACCATATAACGCGGGGCCGTATGGGCGCCACGCGTATCCTCGACAGCGAACAGCGGTGAACCCGGATGAGGCTTTATTGCCGAATCTAATGCGCACCGTGGCGCAGCAACACCAGACTCAAGAGGAAGGATCCTGCAGCCAGTGCAACTGTGCTGCAGATCCGTCAAAACAGCGCAGCAATGTGCGGGGTGGAAATCCCCAGAAACAGCGAATAGCTACTCAGGAGGGCGGGGCGTCCCGCCCTTACGTTCCGAATTTTTTAAAAGATTTTTCGCTGTACTACGTAAGGCATACTGTAAAGAGAATTTTTATCAAATTATTAGAGACCTTAAGTCGGCACATAATATTGTAAACGAGGCCAATAACGGAAAATAATATTGTAAACGAAACTGAAAATAGTCTCCGTTTGTTTTGTTGAAAATAGTCTCTGTTTTATAGAATGTCTTTCGATTTTCATCCAGTTTTGTTTACAATATTATTTTCCGTTATTGGTCTCGTTTACAATATTATGTGCCGAATTAAGGTCTCTAATAATTTGATAAAAATTCTCTTTACAGTATGCTTTACGTACAGCAAAAAATCTTTTAAGTGTTTTTTTTTAACTGTAGATAGGTGATGGAAATCTCACCAATTTTCGAATGTACAAGCAGTGCAAGTATAAAGCCGGCCGATGAATTTTCTGCGTAATGGTACAGGGAGAATAATGATTGGTTCCTGCTGAATTTTGTGTAAGTTAGCAATTTGCATAAAAATATTTCAACCGCCTTGTAAAATTATTGTCACGGAGACCGTAAACTGTGTACTCGTATTTACCAGACAAATGATTACATGCCGCTGAGCTCCCTAACAATATGCAAAAAAATCGGTACCATTGGATAATTTTGATTTATTCACCGTTGATTTTTTCACAGTGATTCTCCCGATGCCCGAACAAATTTTCTATATTTCACAAGCATGACAGTTTTGATGTTAGTAGAAAGCAGCAAATATACCTGCGTGGCTTTTTACCGGCAAAAAATGTTCATTGTCATAAGTGCTTCGAAATCCACTCCAGACAGTGGTGGTAAAATGCAGCGTTAAGCACAACAGATATCTTGTCGGCTGTCACGGCCTTGCCACGATGCCAATATACAGAGCATGGCGCGCTTCTACAAAGGTTGATAATAAAGTGCTGTTAGAAGGCGAAGCCGGCCAAAAGCTACCATGCTTATTCGACATAAATAACGAATTTTGTTTAACAATTCGCCGGAATGTATTTGGAGTGGTTGTTCGAGGAAAATAACTGCCTCATTCGCAAAATTCTGGGTCCAGAGGACTATATAATGATCAACGCTTCGCGTTTAAAATCATATCAGAACCGACATTACAAATTACTACCTCCCTCGACTTGATACTTTCCCAACTTTTTCCAATTTTTCTGTAAAATGGTCGCTCGTTTTCTTTTTGGTCTTGTTTTCGTGGGCATGTGCGCTGTGGCCTTGAGTTTCCAGGGCAAAGCGACGTTCTACACTCCGGCGATGGGAGCCTGCGGAAAGGTCAACCACGAAGACGAGATGGTGGTGGCCGTCAGCAAGGCGCAGTACGGAGTGCACAGCAACCCCAACAACGCGCCCGTCTGCAGCAAGTGCGCCCTGGTCAAGGCGGTGGAATCCGGTGAACAGGTCAAGGTCAAGGTGGTCGATCAGTGCAATGGATGTGCCAGCGGCGCCATCGATCTGTCCCCGGCCGCCTTCGAGAAACTGGCTGACAAGGACCTCGGCCACATCGAGGTCACCTGGAACTACGTTAAGTGCTAAATAAACTGTTCGCAGTTCTGCGCTTACCTTAACTGATACTTTCCGGCCTGAATGATGCTCGGTTCTGCTCTACTTTGCATAGTTTTAGCTTTCTTTAATTATTTGCTTGAGTTGTTAGTTTCTTAGATTCTTCGGATTTATTGGCAGTACTGGGCTGTCTTGGCGTTAGCGTTATATGAATGGTGTTACCATGAAAATTCCATCTTAGGATCACAGTTCAGAATCTGGTAGTACTTCACTGGGCACTAACGGATAGGAAACAGATCCACTTCAAGTCCAAACAAATGACACATTCCACTTCATATAGCAAACAAGAAGATCAATTTCTGAGAATTCACAGTATCAAAGGCTCTCAGATGGTGCAGAAAAAGTTGGGCCTCGTCCCCTTTCTGTAGCGTATCTCGTTACGATACAGCACCATACCTAGCTTCGCTACAGTACAAAAACGGGACACTATTTGGTACGCCTTACACTGTTAGATCGCACCACAGTTATAAATGTTGACCAATCTTCGGATCTTACTAACGTTTTTTTCGCCGGTCCCGTTGCCGTTGTTACTTCCTGATAGTGAGAAAGCAAGCGCAAGATGCGCCAACATGCCATATATTTCGAAGCGATTGATCTAAATCGCACTAATGTCCTGAAAATATGCGTGCCATTTTGAAAACTTGAGTCGTTATATTTGTAAATGCACATTCCTCATTGTGACGTGGGCTTCTTAAACCGGTGAAGAATCCAAAGGACATTTGCACATGCTAAACATTCAGTTACTATACCACACCAGACCGAGGTTTTATGGGATAAGCTTAAGTAACCAATTTCGATATGCGATGTTACCAGAGACTTTATTTTGTTTCGCAAGATTTGTTTTGCGCAAACAGAATCTCAGCTGATGATGTTTTTTAATATTTCCTACGTTAACAGATTAACGCATAGTGCGCAAAGCAAACGCCTCCTTATCTGTCCGAATTCAACGCTGGTGGTTTACACACTCGATATGGTCCTGTTCCACACTGTCTGTCGATTTATTATTTAATTTGTTTTACCGCGAACCGATCACTGCCGAATTTCCATTTCTTCGTACATGACTTCAGTACATCGTAATCGATCATTGTCTGGGAAACGACTGGCAGGTTACAATGTTGGGTAAATCAGTTTTTTTAAGGAAAACATTTTTAAACGTTCGCAACAATGATTATTTCGTCGTAACTTAACTTATTCTTGTACTGTTGTACATATGGTGAAAACCGGCACTTTATGTTTTGCTCGGTTTGTTTTTTCTCCGCCAACACAGAATCTCAGCTACTGCTGTCGATGAAACTTTCTTTTAGGGTGAAAAGCCAATACAAAACTCGGTGAAAAGCATTTTCAAAAAGACAATTGCAGCACCGGAGCAATGATTAGACAGAAAAGGAACGCCATGAACAGCGCCAATAAGCTTCCTGACTTTACAATATTTTTGTGCGTTTCCATAAAGACCACACTGGTCTATAGCAAAAGCATATAAATGGGCTTTGAAAGTATAATATAATTAGTGGATATGCTGCTGACCCAGACCATTATGTCCGCTCCGTCTAACATTTGACGTAATCCCAGGTGACCTGAATACGGCCCTTGTCCACCGACGCCAGTTTCTTGAACGCCGCCGGCGAAAGTTCCACGGAGCCGCTGTTGCATCCCGGACAGCTGTCCACCACGTTGACCTTGACGCTCTTGGTTGTCCCGTCGGCTTTGACCAGAGCGCACTTCCCACACACCGGCGCCTTGTTGGGGTTAGCGTGCTTGCCGTATTCCACGTGGCTGACGGCCACGATTAGGTCGCTTTCCTTGTTGGTCTTCCCGCAGGCGGCTAATCCCGGAGCGTAGAAAGTAGCATCACCTTTGAAGGCGTTGATGGCGCCGTACATCGCGAACAGGACAAGAATCACACAGCTCATGGACGCCATTTATTGTACCGTGGTTAAGACTTATGAGTATATGACCAACTGTCGAAATGTAATGGAAAATGTCCACCGGTTTTTATACGCATCGCCATGTTAACTTTGTTCGTGGTCAAAGTCACGACAAAGTGGATTCCTTGAAACGCTTTACACATCCTAGCAATGTGGCCCCGTTTGCCACAGTTGCCACACCGGACATCTTTCGCCCAACAGTCCGCCTTTCTGTGGTCCATGTCGCCACAGGAATAACACCCTGCGCCTCCTCCACGCAGTCGACTGGTGCCGCCGGTATCGCCACCGCGGTCGGCTGGGCTGCTTCCTCCGGCAGGCACACCATCACTCCTCCGGTTTTCGCCTGTGCCGTCGCTTCTTCCCCCAGCTCGGCCAGATTGACCTTGACTGCGACCTTGGCCACGCCCTTCTGCTTTGGTACGCACAATGGCTACGTCAGCCACTTCCGTGGACGCTTGGGCACGCTTGGTGGTCTTGGCCAGCTCATATTGCTGCGCCATTTCCAGGGCCTTTTCAAGCGTCGCGAAATCCTTAGTCATGAGGTGCTGACGCGTGGCATCGCTGGCCACACCGTTCAGGAACGTCGACGACATGTTCATTTCCAACACGTCTCCGGGGAAGTTGCAGTTAATTGCTTTCCTCCGCAGCTTGTTGGAAAGCTCCAACAACGTTTCCCCGGCCTCCTGACGCATCTGGAAATACATTGCCCACTCTACCGTCGCGTTGGTCTTCCGGACGTATGCCTGCTCGAGTTTATCCACAATCTGAGCATTGGTTTAATCGTCCGGGTCACGCGGCAGGCACATGGAGTGCAGCATTTCCATCGCGTCCACGCCCAAGGCGTCCAGCAGGATGGCCTTTTGTTCGTCAGTGTCCGTGACCTTCCTTAACTTAATATAGTTCCGGTATCTGAACTGCCATGACCTCCACGTCATGACCGCAGGTTCAAACCGCAGAAGGCCAGATCCACCAGTCTCCTCACGGGGCGCTGCGGGAGCCGTAGAAGCAGTCACATTACCCGTACTGGGCATTCTGCTCGTGGAGTATCACACTAGTCGTACCTTCACGCCTCTGTCACGACTTCGTACTTACTGCAGCTCGACCCAACACACACTGATGGTCTCACACTGATGACTATACGCTAGCAACATGGTTGCTATACTACGCCACACTTCGGTTTTCTCAGGTTTCTTAAGTTTCCAGGGTATTATTTTAGGTTTCTTAGGTTTTCTTAGGTTTCTTAGGTTTCTTAGGTTTCTTAGGTTTCTTAGGTTTCTTAGGTTTCTTAGGTTTCTTAGGTTTCTTAGGTTTTTTAGGTTTCTTAGGTTATTCTTAGATTTCTTAGAATTCTTAGAATTTTTAGGTTTCTTAGGTTTTTAAGTTCTCTTATAGTTTTTTTAGTTTTGTTAGGTTTTCTGAGGTTGCTCTTAGGTTTCTTCGGTTTTGTTTATTCGTCGGTTATTCTTAAGTAATACTTATGGTTATTTTTAGGTTATTCGAAAAACTATGGTACCATTTAATCGTAGTTACATCAAAAGTAACGTTTCTTGCCCAAGTTGGACCAAAATAAGCGTCGGCCGATGAGCTGCGGCCGAAGTGAGCCTCGGCCGAAATGAACGGCGGCCGAAAAAGTTTGACCGAAATGAGCACGGCCGAAATGAAAACGGCATAAGTGATCGGTAGCCGTTGCCGAAATGTCAGAATTAATAATAATTTCTGGCCTACAAATGATAACTTAATGCACAAAATAATTCAACGAATATGCAGCCCTATCAATTTTTGGTATGCTATACCAGCTATGCCAAGTGCTGGAAACTTCAAAATAGTGTGGCATGGCACCTCGTGGGATCGCACTCAGCTTAAGCTGATATTTTTCATGTTCCTTTACGCAAGCAATTTAGTGTCCATGGGGTAAACTCGTGTTACACAATAAATTTATTATGTTTAAAAAAAGTGTTTAAACTCTCCACTAGGGCGATCATGGGCGTCTGGTTTACCACAGAAAAGGATCACATTGTCCGTTGGGTTGTACAGTATCATACAGTAATGACAAAGCAGCTCTTGGCTAGATTGTGAAACTGATCGCGATAAATGCTTCGTATTTCTTAATGAAATGGCAGTCAAACATGAAGTGTTTAATGCTATACTTACTCGATAGGCATTATTACTGTGGAATTCGTTCATCCTAAAAGGAAAATATGGTCGAAAAAGCGGTGCTGGAAGATATGAAAATCGATTGCGATACCTGGACACTCCTATGCAGAAGAAATCGAAGCCAGGATTCACAGGTTACTTTCTGCTATTTTCAATCGCTTTGATGGAAATAATGACGTTCCAATGACACTTCCGTTCAGAAGACAAAACTATCTCATCTGCAGTGCACCGCACACGTAATTAATATGCTTTCAACCGTAGACTCTGAGTAACATGTTGACATTACGAGTGCACAGTTATTTATTAATTAGTGCTGTTTCGGGGTGAGTAGAAGCGCGCACAGTGAAACAACATATTTACCACATCACACACACAATACGATTCCGTAGCGACGAACGAGGTTGCGGTTCAAACTTCCTTTATTCATTTTATCAAACACAAATGCAGACCTATATAAAGCTGTGCGTAGGGTTGATGAATAAGGAGTCGGGAACGCATTTCTTCACAAGCAAATACACATCGCTTACATAATTAAGACCTTCTGTTGCGGCCCGCGATTTTCCCGACCCCGCAAAAAATTCAGAATCCCTGGGATACTGCATACTTACCAGCTTGATTGGCACCACAGTTTCATACAATCAATAAACTGGATCTGTATCCAGTTCAGCGCTTCTGGTGGTTCCATTGACACCGTCTGTGTGGTTACGGGACGGATACGGGCTGTTTAGACGCCACAACGGCGCGTAAAAGCCCCTGTAAACAGTTTGGTTGATTGGCCAGAACTCAGGGATGGCTTAGCTGCTTAATGGCTTTAAGCTGAAAAAAAGTTGCGCTTCGACGTCGGGGAGCAGCCATTACCCACGCTACGTTACTACAGTCGCAACCACATAAAATCTGAGAATCTTTTTTCTCCGTTCGTGATTTACCATATCAGCAATGAGTAAGACAGGGGCATGAAAAACCTGGCAACACGATTAATGCAATACAGGCAAGCGATTAATGCAACACGATTAAGACAATACACCGATACGGGCAACGTCAAACAGTTGCGACAGTAACTTAACGATAAGGTTTCTTAAACTAAATAACGAAAACAGCCAACTACATTGATGATTGATGACGCATTACGTGATTGATGAATCCCTGCATGGATGCTCCAGACAGCTCCCCTTTCACGAAACAGAGTTAGGGCGAGTCAACTTCCACATTCGAACCAAGTTGTTGCTCCAGAACGATCTAATATTTATCTACCAGGTGGCTCACGCATTTGTGAACGTAGATGCATCGTATTCTTTTGGGCTTCCCCTCCCTCCTTACGCCGGCCCATGCATTTTCTCCACAACAGATTAGTATGATGCCGCAAACCTGCGACACCCAGACAGAAAAATATTGGATCCAGTAAGGCCTGCAGCGGATACAGCGCCACCGCTGCCTTAGCCAACATTAACATTTTGGTCCGGGGAATTAAGTTAAGTAAAATGTAGTACACCAACGTAGGAATCCAGCACAGAACAACACTAAGCGTGAACAAGGTCAAAACGATAAACGGCAGCGAAGCTGTGTCCTCTCGACGAGTAACTGGCAAAGGCGTCGGTACAATCGACGACTGCGGAACCGTTTCGTTTCTTCTACCGCGCAGGACCGCCGTGGCTTTTCTTCTCTGCATCGTTTTCCACAGCAGCACCGGATAAATTACGGGTATGAATATCTTGGGGAAATCGAACACTAGCACGGTTATAAAGGTCGCCCATTCAATCTGCCGGGGCGTATTGATCCAGCAGTCACTCTCCGCGGGGAGCCGGTAATACAGTGCATCCAGTATGATGCCGGGCAGCAGCAGAATATGCACATAAAGGATCGCGCCAAAGCAGAACGTAACTGCAAAGCGAATGGTGTGATGGCGGTGGTAGGATATTGGTCGGAACAAAGCCCACGCGCGGCTTAGACTAACCAGCAGATGCAGGTGCACGGTAATGGCCGCTACAACGTAATTGCTGTAAATGCGTATCGTACAGGCCGCGTCGCCCAGTGACCAGCGCAGATAGTTGACGGGAGAATTGGCCAGGTCAAGCGTGCTGGATAACGCTACATATGTGATATTGCTTAAAATCACAGCCAATACATACATGTTGAATGGAGTGCGTAGGTTTTTCTTGTACAGTATCAGGAACACAACACTGCTGTTAGCCAGCAGCGTCGTAGTCGTTAAGGTGACCAGCCAACTCGATAAAGGTGCTTTGCTCTGAGTAACATTGGTGGATGAATTGAAAGTGAAGCCGGAAACATTGAAAGCAGTGATCCACCCGTTAGGCATGGTAGAGTATGTTATCCTTATGATGCGTTTCTACAGAAAAATATGTTGAAAAAACGCTTTGGAGATGAAGGATGAAGCTACATTAAAGAACAATACTGGTGCCGGTACTCTTGTAATTCACTTTTAAATCCGTGTCGGATTACGGAGATTGGTTTTTCCCGTTACCAATCATTTGAATGGAAATCACGAAGTTCCATGACTCTTCCGTTCTGTGGACAGATTTATCCCGCTTTTTCCGGTGTACGACATTTCAACGAAATGCTGTGGATCGCGATTGGCATGTCATGGATAATAAAAGCACCTCGTTTGAGTAAGTGCACTATTGCGGAAGTAAATGCGCGTACGTTAGCAAACACGACAGCCAATTTGCACGCTGCCCTTGTGGTGCGGTGAACGAGCTTGCAGTTTGCAATGGTCTTCATCTTCGTCTTCGTACCCCAAGCAAATGCAGGCGCTATCGGCAGTGGGTGCCACTACGACGTTTGGAAGTTTACAGTTCACTGGATATACATGTTCGTTGGAGCTAATTTTGTATATCATTCGAATACGTACTTAAGCCGTAATTCTAAGGAACTAGATTTCAGACATAGCTGTGTGAAGGGTTATGATTGAGCAATAGATTTTAAATTGCGGTAGCTGCTAAGGGACTGCCCCAAAATTCTCGTTACCTATGAACACATCCGACTCTAAAGAAAATTAAAGCACTTGTATAGCATCATAGTATCAAAGCATAGTAGTAAAGAGGTCATAATTATCGTCATTGGCACAAACACAAAGGAACAAGAAGGAAAAAAACGATGTCGGCGCCATGACAGTGACTTACAAATGATAATGTTTGTATAAAAGTATAACCCGGGCTTTCGGAAGTTGGCTGTCTGCAGCTGCAGATCCATGTTTCTCTGAACAATGACGAAGTACTCTATAGTGTGCCCGCATTTGCAGGGTCTTGTTATTGCGCTTCATTTTAAAGACTTTTACACGTCGCTAAAGTAGCACCACATACAAATCCCATCAACGATTTGACCTTACTACTTCGTATTTCATCCTACTGACATTTACCGATATAAACTGATTTTTCGGAACATTTTGTTATCTAAACTTCTCTAATCCCAGACACCTCATCAACCGCAATTCCATAGAATTCGTAATATTTCAAATTGCTGAATAACAACAACACCATGGAAAATTCTGTAATCTTTTATGTATTTAGTACCGATTATACAATTTGCACAAAAGACACCTTCCTTTACAAATACACAAAAGCATATATTTGAGTACTGACCATTGACGTACAATTTATCAATTAAACATCAACTGCAAACGCTTATTTCAGACATGTTAATCCAGGAATTTAACACGACATGATTTTCATTTTTATAGATCAGCACAAGTAGCTATGCTTTGATGACTGGAAACCATGTCGATGGCGAATTAACTCTCTTGGCCAGTCATTTACAGCCTTAACCTTTGGACTTTGATATCTTCTTTCTTCGAGCATGGCCTCGAATTGCTTGTCGTTTTTCTCGTTGGTGAAGCGGAATGGGGGGCATTTCGTCTGCCGCGGTCAAGCTGGGGTTCTTGTCGGGTGTGGCAGGTTCGTTTTCGGTTCTAAACCAGATGCTTTTTGTACAGGCATGTTAAATCAGCAGAGTAACTGCATGAAAACAACTAGGGTAACTGCTGCATGCCAACGGCAACAAGCAAAGAATGTTAGCGAAAAATGGACTCACTATGGCGTCTTAGTACGGTACAACGATACTTACTAGATTCCAAAGTTTCCAGATTCATGGGACCTTCTTCCGCTAACTTTTGGTCCGTCGGCATCAGTTAGGCTTCCTAAAAAGGCACAGGTATAAAATTAGTTCCAGTTCCCGAAATAATTAAAACTGAAATGATTGTGTACGGTGGTTCCCGCATTGAGCATCAAATTTTTCATGTAACCGTATATCAGTTTGTGCTAACTTACATTTATTACGAGTGTTTAGCAAATTAGCTGATAAAATTAAAGCGCTTTATAGTCTGATCCCTTGTTCCTCGCTAACCGTTAAATGGCGCTATACACTCTGAATACTCATTGTAAACGCAGTTGGAGCAATACACATACCGCAAACACCAGAATGGCAGCCAGCAGCAGCAAGGTCACGAAGACGCTCATAATGCCGGACGTGGAATGTCGAAAACGTTGAACAACAGAAATGAAACGATCAGAAAGTTGACTGTTTTGGAAATTTAGTTCAGCCAACGCTACCAAACGGTTTTATAGGGACGCCTGCGAGATGACGCTTGCGTTTTTGCCGATCTGAGCTCTCCAAACCGTGGCGGAAATAATGCTGACTTTTGGTGCCATTCACGGAATTTGCTCAGTGGTTTGTCAGAAATCGAAGCCTGGAAACTGCAAGTGTTTTCCGAACATCGGATGGTCCGGCTCCAGCACCTCCCGTATCCACTTGAAAATTGCAGCGGCAGCTGAAGCGAACACAACAATATGGATGCGCACTGTACAGAGTGTACAGTGTCATGTACAGATACAGTAAACATCGATTCGGATTTCTAGCATACGCAAGCAAAGTTATGGGGTTATCGGCTTCGATTCGGTATGGGTGTTGTTGTTGACGCCGCACCGAAGTCTTTTCTTGCTCTTGCTTTTAGTTGTATATTTGAACTATGTAAAGTTCAAGAAAGCTATGTAAAGCTTTCTTGAACTATGTAAAGATCTGCTTTAATTGCCAGTATGCGAAGGTTTTGTCTCCGAAAACAGGACTTTGTCAATCACACAGTAAACATTTTTCAAAATAACAAGCGTAGTGGCAACTTTTATAAAGCAAAACGATACAGCCTTTCACATTAAAATAATTCTAAATACAGTTATTTTTAAAAATAAAAACATAATAAAATTAATAAAACAAAAAATATATTAAATCGACAATAAACTTGAACATTTTTTTAATTAAAAAAGAAAAAAAAATTTTTCTCGACACTATTAATTTGTTTAAAAAAATATTTTTCTAAAAAAAATCGAAAAATTTAAAAAAACTCTACTAACGATAACTTGTAACTTTTAAAAGTAAAAAACAGAAAAAATAAATAAAAAAACTTTTTCTCCCCAAAGAGGATACTAAAATAATTTTTATTGAATAAATACAAGAGAAAAAAAAACTTCTAAAAAATAATGTTAGTAAAATCAATGTTCAAAGAGAAAAAGACAATCAATAAACATTTTCATAAAAAAAATTTTTACACGTGAGAAAGCCGATAAAATATCTAAATTTCCAATAAAACGAAAAGAATATCCAATAGTCAACATAACAGAAAAAAAAATTAATTTGAGCTCCATCAAGTAATAAATCTTTAGAGAAAAATCCAGCAGAAAATGGGAAACCAGTTAAACAAATAACACACACTAAAATTACTGAAATAGATACTCAATTAGAATAAAAAACTTTAGATGAATTATGAAATTCTTGGCTTCTATCATTGCCATGAATAAGAACTCCAGATCTTATAAAAAGAGAAGCCTTTAATAAGGCATGAGATGTTAATGAATAAAAGCAAACATAACAAGACCCATAGAAAGTGACCTTATTATCAACCGAAGTTGTCTCAAGGTTGAATAAGCAATTATTTTCTTTATATCCCACTCAAAATTATCAATTATGACTTACACTAAAAAGCGTTGATATGACTTACAATAAAAACGATATTTTGTATCACGGAGAAAATTGTTAAATAAGTACTTAATGGTTTAAATTTAATTTTTCGTAACATAGGTGCAGCGCAATCATCAAAACGAAGTTCATAAACGGACAAATAATTGATAATGCCGGTACAATAGAAATCTGAATACACAGACAATATGACGAAAAATGAGAAGTTTACTACATTGAAGTATTGGATATGAACAATTGATATCGTAATTAAATCAGAGCTTGGTTTTAATTCTTTTCCGCGAATGCAGATAGTAATTCGCTGTTGTATGTTTCGACAGGAAATATTTGTTTAGGAGCAAAAGTTCTTGCTCAACGAATCTTTAGCCTTTACGCTGCATTAAAGAACTGGCTTTGAAATTTTCACACCTACAGTTGCCAAAACAGTTAGCTGTCGAAGACTTGATTTTAAGAATAATCTTGGCTAGCTTTCTGAATATTTAAATGCAAATTATGCAGATATATGGTATATTTCAGGGCATCTTAACTTCTGTCTGCACAAAAGTAAAATACGCAATGGTTCAATCTTCGCCGTTAATCATGTAAATAATTAAACCTACACCTACCAGAAAAATGAAACAAACAGGAAAGTCTCGAATGACGCTCCTCGAAAAATGGGGGATACTGAACCTAGTTATTTTATTTACAATAATATATGCCCTACTAACGTTCCAAAACATATAGTATACCCTGCTTTTCCATATCTTTTCCGTACAGAAAGTTTCACAAAAGTTTCAAAAGTGTGCAAACTCTGATATTCATTTTTAAATGCGCGGGTACATTTGTTACGCTGTTACTTTCATCGTACGCATTTTAAAGGGACAATTTGTTCATTTAATTCTGATGTACGGATTAAGTTATAAGGATGTACAGTGAACGAAAAACACAAACACAAAAAAATTGTTTCACTTTTTGTTTATTGTTTATTGCATCCTGTGATATGATAGGTCTGCTGAATTTTATATGAATGTACAATCTGCTAAAAATTGTTATTTCGTCTGCCTTGCAGAATTTTTGTCGCAGACATTGTCCAGCAGTATGTAGCGAATGAATGGTTAGTGAGCTTCCAATATATTTGAGCAAAAGTCGGTCCCTGCACTGGATAATTTTAACTTATTCATGGTGGTAACAGACATTTCCGATGTCCGATCCAACTAATTTTCTATATTGCATGAAAATTATGGTTCTAATGTTAGTGGAAAGCATTAAAAACACTCCAGTCGCTATTTACCGGCAAAAAATTTTTCATTGTCCCAGGTGCTTCGAAATTCACTCTAGACAGTTGCGGTAAAATGCAGCGTTAAGCACAACAGTTGAACAGATATTATCTTGTCGGCTGTCACGGCGTTGCCACGATGCCATCAGCGCAATATACAGAGTACAGTGAATTGCGCGCTTCTCCGAAGGTTGATAACCAAGTGTTGTTAGAAGGCGAAGCCGGCCAATAGCTACCATGCTTTTTCAACAAAAACATCGATTCTGTTTAACAATTCGCTGGAATATATTTCGAGTGGTTTTTCGAGGAAAAAAACTGCCTCATTCGCAAAATTCTGGGTCCAGAGGACTATATAATGATCAACGCATCGCGTTTAAAATCATATCAGAACCGACATTACAAATTCGTACCTTCCTCCACTCGATACTTTCGCAACTTTTTCCGACTTTTCTGTAAAATGGCCGCTCGTTTCCTTTTTGGTCTTGTTTTCGTAGGCATGTGCGCTGTGGCTTGGAGTTTCCAGGGCAAAGCGACGTTTTACACTCCGGCGATGGGAGCATGCGGAAAGGTCAACCACGAAGACGAGATGGTGGTGGCCGTCAGCAAGGCGCAGTATGGAGTGCACAGCAATCCCAACAACGCGCCCGTCTGCAGCAAGTGCGCCCTGGTCAAGGCGGTGGAATCCGGTGAGCAGGTCAAGGTCAATGTGGTCGATCAATGCAACGGATGTGCCAGCGGCGCGATCGATCTGTCCCCGGCCGCCTTCGAGAAATTGGCTTCCAAGGACCTCGGCCACATCGAGGTTACCTGGAACTACGTTAAGTGCTGAATCAACTTTTCGCAGTTTTGTGCTTCCATTAATGATACTTTCCGGCCTGAATGCTGCTCAGCTCTGCTCTACCTTGCATAGTGTTAGTTTCCTTTATGAGCTTGCGCTTTTAATTACTAGTTTTTCGAGTTTATTGACGATACGGGGTCGTTTTTGCATTGGCGCCGTGTGAGTTGTGGTTCCATGAAAATTATATTTGGGACGGCAATTCAGAATTTGGTAGAAGAGAGTTCAGATCCTCGCTATCTGACATGAAACTGGTATATTACGATCATATAATCCAAGACCAAACAAATGGTATATCCACATGGTAATGTACAACAAGAAAATTTTTTGCTTGGTATCCGCAACATCAAGGTTTCCAGGTAGTTCAGAATACGCTGACACTGCTGAATCGCACCATAATTATAAACGTTGAGCGGCCTTCGGATCTTGTCCATGTTGATTCCTTTGGCCCGTTTGTGCTATACCTCCTGACAGTGAGTTAAAGCAAGCGGAAGATCTGCCGATATGCCACACATTTCGAAGCGGTTGGATGTAAATCTCATTCATGTCTTGGAAAATTCGAGAGGATATCCAAAATCAGAGTCATCATACGTTTCCCATAGCGACAATGGGAATACATGTGTAACGTTGGCATTTGGACAGCAAAGATCATTTGCGGACGGTACATACATTCAGCTACTACCCAGACCGCACTTTCAAAATGAATTTAAATAACCCCAATTGGAAAACGGTTTTAGTAGCTATCGGCACGAAAAAATAAGTACGCTCTAAGATAACAATTTTTGATTACATAGTATGTAAGACACACAGGATGACAATTTGCAGATGTGGCTAATCATTGTCTGGACAACAACTGGCAGGTAACGATGTTAACTGTAGTTGCTCTGACTCGACCGGAATATAAGATAGCCTAAAATAACCTGATACTAATAAAAGGACCGCAAAAGTGACTTATCTGGGCCCGGTCACCGGCTCCCGGCTCCGAAAAATTTCGTTTTTGCAAGAACTCAGGAAGACAGAGTAATCTGCAAATCTTGGGTATACTTCAAAAAATATTTTCATCGGCCATGGTTAAATGGGCGTGGCTAAACTTAATTCCCGTGTACTAATGCATACAGCACTATGTATTGGAAAACCGTAATAGTGAACCGTACAATGTCAGTGGTTTTTGACCAGTACGTGTTAATGTCGGACCGTACCAGTTGCCCAGTGGCTCGAGCTGGCACTACCCCATAGTATATCCGCTTTTCTTGAGCAGTATCGTCAGGATGTGCAGGTTCTATTCTGAAATTTGCAGCCATTTTGCTGGAAATAATGGCGTCTTTTGAGCTTTGCGTTGAGCGGACAGAACTGTCCCGTTTGCAACGTACGGCAAACGTAATCATCACGATCTAAATTATAATTCGTGTGCAACCTGTTGAACTACGAGTAAACAATCATGTTTTAACTGGTGCTATTTTGTGGCGAGTAAAATCACGCGTATGTGAGCAACATGTAATTACGCACGTCGCGCTTCCGTAGCGACGAACGAGGTTGTGGTTCAGAAGCCTTTGTTTGTTTGTGGAACGTCGAACGCAAATGCAAATACTTTGTTTTCCGACTCTGTTCAGATTTTGCGTAGGGATGACGAATAGGAAGTCCGGACTCTGGAGCTTGTTATCCACAAACAGTCACATATTCCACAATTCTTGTTGCTCGTAACTTTCGCCGACCTGGCAAAAATTCAGAATTTGTGGTATACTAACCCTCATATCTTGATTGTTACCGCAGTTTCCTGAAATTAATAAAACGGCTGTATACCCCGTTAAGCTTCCGGTGTTTCCATTGGCACCATATGAGCGAGCGGCTATAGGACGAGGACGAAAACTGTTTCTTAAGTATCTGAAAAAGCAGTACTGCAGTGATGCTGCTGTCTTCCAGTTAAAGCTTATCCAGGTGATAGTTCTGGTTATTCTGTTATCACCTGGTTTTGTTAGGGGAAGAATTACAGTAACGTAGGATTTTGCACAGCTTACATACTAGATAGCAAGTGTAGGAGTGAGTAGGTGTGGACCAGTGATACTAACTGTGGAAGCACATACATGTACAGATGTACAGTGGATGAGGTTAATTAGTACTGCTTTCTATAAGTTTTACCGTCATGTAAGCAGCAGTCGCGTTCAAACTGATTGATTAAGCCATTTTGATTATTTGGCAGTAGTGCATCCATAAAACAAAATAAGCTTAGGTTTTTGACACTAATTAAAATGACTGAAAATTAAACACTGATAATATGTAAAACAAAATGGTTAGCGTTGTTTTAAATCCTGCTCAGTAGCACGCGCATTCAGTGTTCCTAAAACAGCAGCATAATTTTCTCTGACGACCGATGAATGTAATCGCGGTGTCGAGAAGCTGTGGATTGTAGCCCCCAGTCGCTTTGCAAATTTTCCTGCCAAAGAAGCGTAATCATCTCGCCGATGGCCGCTCCAAATGTTCCCGGCATCTCGACTACCATGGGATACAAACGGTATCCCATATCATCCATGAAGGTGTATTTTACGGCGCTTGGTATCTTCCGCCAAATTTATCACATTGCCGGATTTCCGTTTGAAGCCGCTTGATTGGTTAACCTGTAAACGGTTTGATAGGTTAACCAGAACTCCGGGATGGCTTAAACGCCTTACCTTTCCGTGTAGTTCCCCTTCGACATCGAAGAGCAGTCATTCTTTTAGCAAGATCCCTTGTTAATAACAAGTTAGATAACAAATTGTTAAGTTAATAACAAGTTGTTGTTAATATTAAGTTGTTATTACCGCGTATAAAACCTGTGCGTGTTTCTGTGAGTTATAATTTTGCCAGAATAATCCGTATCACTACCGGGTAACACAGAAGAATGGAAGGCTTGGCATTACACTGAACACTACCACGGAATAATTTATTTAACGCAAAAACAGGCATGCACTGCAGGCGTCAAGCAGGTCCTACCGTAAATTAGAGACAAGATATTCAAACATAATTAACAAAAGCAGCCAGATAACAAATAGTAGTGCATTGACGATTGATTTATCAACAAGATTGTTGATCTGCATGGACGTTGTAGTTTCTTCGCACTGTTCTTTCACGGAACTTAAACAGAGCGATTCAACGTCCAACATAATGTTGTTTGGCAACGCTCTACATGTTTAACTGCCAGGTGGTCCACGCACTGGAGCTGGATAGATCGTATTCTTTTGGAATACCGATTCCTCCTTATGCCAAGCCGTACATCTTTTCCAGATGACATCAATATGGTACCGCAAAGCCGCGACACCCAGACAGAAAAAGACCGGGTCTAGTAAGGCCTGCAGCGGATACAGCACCGATGATACTTCCTTAAACACCAGCATTTCTTTTCGAGGAATAAAGTTAAGGAGAATGAAGTAGACCAGCGTGGGGATCCAGCACAAGACAACACTAAGAGTGAACAAGGTCAAAATAACAAACGGCCGTGCAGTTATGCTTCCGCGGCGAGTAACCGGGACATGTACAGCGGACGATGATGTATCCTTGATATCCGTATTACCGCGCGGGACGGTGGTGGTTTTTCGTTTCTGCAACGTTTTCCACAACAGCACCGGATAGCACACGGGAATAAACACCTTGGGCAGGTCGAACACAACCACGGTTGTAAAGGTCGCCCATTCGATCTGTCGAGGCGTGTTGATCCAGCACTCGCTGTCCACGGGGAGGCGATAATACAGCGCATCCAGTATAATGCCCGGAAGCAGCACAATGTGCACGTAAATGACTGCGCCCAAGCAGAATGTAACCACCAAACGAATGCCATGGTGACGGCGGTAGGAGAGTGGTCCGAACAATGCCCACGCGCGACTAAGAGTCACCAGCAGATGTAGGTGCACGGTAGCAGCGGCTATAACGTAGCCGTTATACAGTCGTACTGTGCAGGCTGCGTTGCCCAGCGTCCATGGCCGATACATCGTGGGAGAATTAGACATTTCCAGCGTGTTGAATAACGTCCCATATGCGATGTTGCTTAACAGTATAGCCACTACATAAATGTTAAATGGTGTGCGGAGTTTTTTCTTGTGTAATATCATGAGCAACACACTGACGTTGGCCAGCAACGTCGTCGTTGTGATAGTGAACAGCCAGTTCGATAAAGGCGCTTCGCTATGATTGGTATTCGTGGATGAATTGGAAAAATATCCAGAAACGTTGAAAGTGGTGTTCCGTGCGATAGACATGGTGGAATGTACCGTCACAACAGCAAAATACGTTGGAAATGAAATTGTCTGAACCATGTAACAACGTTAAATAACACCGATGGCGGTGCCTAAGTTATTTGGTTCTATATTCCGCGTCGGCTTACGCAGGTTGCTTTTCACCTTTCCAAATCAAATATCTTGAAAATCACGAAGTCCTATGACACTTCCGCTCTTGGGACAGATTTATCCCGTTTTTCCGATGTATGGCAAATGTCAACAAAATTCTCTGAATCGTGACTGGCATGTAAGGGATAATATAAGAACTCATTTGAGTTAGTGCATTATTGCGGAAGTAAAAGCGCGTACATTGGATAACGCGAAACGCAGTTTCCACGCTGGGTTAGTGGAGCGGTGAACGAGCTTGCAGTTCGCAGTACAATGGTCTTCGTCTTCGTACCTACCATATGCATGCGCTATCGGAAGTGAGTGCCATCACCATGTTTGGTGATCCAATGCATATACATGTTCGTTGGCGCTAATTTGTTATATCTATCGAATACGTACTGTGCCGTAAATCTAAGGAACCAGACTTTACACATGGCACGTCTGAAAGGTTATGAATGATGGAATAGATTTTAAATTAGGTACGGACGGACGACTCCCAGAATTGTCGTTACGTAAGGCTTTAACCGACTCCGAAGAAAACGAAAGCTCTTGTTTTACTAACAGAGCAAAATAGTAGGAAAGAGTTCTATCCAATCCAACAGCGACGACAAATACAATCCAACAACGAGGAAAAACAATGCC